AACCACTCAACCACTAGATGTCGCTGAAAACAACAAATCCTACACACTGTGCCTTTAACTAATAAATTGGACAATAATCTGGCTGTTTAGTGATATTTCCACAGTTATGGCCTTGATTGGTCTTGAAATAAAATTCTGAGTCCTCAATGTCCAAGATCGAGACAAGACCATCAAAATGTGGTCTTGAGACTGTTCTTAAAACCAAGACCGGTTTCAAGTACAACACGACCAAAGGTGTTCTAGTGGACTGAGGTCAGGACTCTGTGCAGGCCAGTCAAGTTCATCTTCACCAGACTCTGCCATCCATGTCTTTATGGTCCTTGCTTTGTGCACCGGTGCGCAGTTATTTGGATGAATGAGCAAACTTTTGGCAACATAGTGTAGTTGTGGGACAAAAAATGTGTCATTTTTGGCCAAACTACTTCCCCCCCACCCCAACATGAGAAATTATTGTGTGATTGATCAGAAGTCCATGTGCTTGTTTGTTTATGCTGAAAAGTGCTCCGACAGCAAAGACAGCATTTTGCTTTGCTTCTACAAACCAACTGTTGTACCCACATGCAGACACCTATAAAGATAGTCAAAATGGACAAAAACTCCTGGATGGAGAAACACTGACTTCGTGCCAAARTGTGTTGTTTTAACCGTGACWTATTTTTGGCCAAAGCAACGTCAAATATTGTTGTRGAGACCACAATGGAAAGAAACCATTGCTGTGGCTTGTACAGTAGCAAGAGGGTGCTCTGCATCATGCTCCCTATGAAAAGTGTGTGTGGAAATGAATCTCCCCTTGACTGACCATGCTGAGCCCAGCTACCCTGTGGGAAAGACATATTTGGACCATCCACGATCTCAATAGTCTACTGTGGAAACTTCACCTGAGCCGTCTGTTAATCTTATGCTCCATTCTTCCCTCACTTGTTATAAAACTCCAARATACTTGAACTCCTCCAATTGACACAGCACCTCAGCRTCACACTGTGCTGCAGATCACTTTAGTGAGAGCTGGGGATGACGACATGATGACAGCAAGACCACGTCATCTGCAAACCGGAGACCTTCTGTCCCCTGGCTGCACTGAGAAACTCTGTTCATAAAAGTCAAGAACAGAATCAGCCTTGGTGGATATGATAGATCTGGTTAGTTACAAACAGAACAGTGTTGACATCACGGCACGCATGTTCATAAGTGTAAATAAYGGAGAATTTGACTTTGTCAAGTGTGCGTTTACATTTTATCATCATCACCATCATCATCATCATCAAACTTTATTTATAAAGCGCTATAAGATCACCCACAGCTGAAATAAAGTGCTGAACACATGAAATAAAAACTCAATACAAAAACACAATAAAATCACACAGTTAAATAAGTAAAATCAGCACCAATACAGTAAAAGTTGAGTAGAATCAAATCTCAGTTGGGTTGAAGGCCAGTGAGAAAAAATTAATTTTTAGGCAAGTTTTAAAAATGGACAGTGAAGGGGCCTGTTGAACATGCAAGGGCAAGGCGTTCCACAGTTTAGGGGCAGAGAAGGTCCTATCTCCTCTGAGCTTCCGTTTGGAACTGGGAATGACCAGGAGCAACTGGTCRGCAGACCYGAGTGACCGAGGAGGAGCGTAATGGTGAAGAAGCTCTGTTAAATAGGGCGAGGCTGTTTAAAACCAAAATGAACTCACACAGGCAGCCAGTGGAGGGAAGCCAGGACCGGGGTGATGTGCTCTCTTCTACGTGTTCCTGTTAAAAGACAGGCAGCAGCATTTTGCACCAGCTGCAGACGTGTGAGGGATGACTGGTATTTTAGGCAACAATCCTCCAAACTGAGCCCATTCTCGAAGTCGGCATGATGTCGTTCAGTCACGTGCTTTCAACCTCCATTTTTTATGGGGGAAAACTCATTGTGAGACTCCATTACAAACTGTGTCAAAAGTAGAGACTTCAARCTATACAGCAGTTYTTAAATTATGTCGATAGATCAAGAGAAGAAAACCAGAGTTACGATAAATAGTATATCTTRCAATTTTTTTTTYCTGAAAATGAACGTTTTATTTTGAAGTGCRTTGCAGCYGAAGGGAGCAGGAATCTCGTGGAAAAAACACAGCTGTCCATCGTCAGTCTCATCTTTCTCTTCAAMTGAAAAAATATAACCCCTCGCTCCTCCTTTTTSACTGAGGCTCAAAGTTATCTGACAAGCAGTAAAARATCTACAGGAAGAAGAAAACAGAGGTGAAATTTGAATAGAGATTGGTGGAAATGAAGAGCCGSTGAGAGCAGGACTTTCTTAATTAGATCTGTGACTTTTAACATKTTTGGATTTTAWAGTTAGTGKGTAGTTYTGAGTGTTTACTCTTCATTTTAGCCAGTTTTAGTGTGTTTTGAATCAAAGCAATGAGGCAATTCTTTTTAAACAAGGAGAAGCACAGGTCTGCAGAGGCAGAACGACAACACGTGTCTTATTTCTCTCCCCTCACTTTTGCGGTTAGAAAAAAAATCAATATTTTATCTCTGGATGTTTTTTTTTTATGTGAGAAGTTCAGTCCTACAGCAACTTTTCCCTATTTTCCCTATTTTCCACCTAGAGGAACTCATCCTATTCCCCCCCAAACCAATATGTCGGCCTCCGTCTACAACATGGTCACGTGACAAAGTACCCGGCAATCCAGTGCGTAATCTACAACAGGTAAGATAGTGACTGTTCAAAACATCCCTTCAAAGTGACCAAAACACTCCTTTCAGCTCAGAGTTCACCTGCCTGTCTGTTCCTTGACCCCTCGAAACACCTGTGGCAGGTGTTACACCCCGTGCAGCTTTCGCTCTGTTTTGGAGAGAATGAGTGTGTGGAGTTGGGGGGGTAAAACACACACACACACACACACACACACACACACACACACACACACACACACACACAC